TAAAGTAAGTGGTTCAGTTATTACATCAGAGGTAACAAAGCCAATTACTCAGAAGGCTGCAGTTAATTGGATTTCTGAAGAGCCCATTAAAGTAAATACTGTGCCATGTATTCTGGTTTTATGTGGGTGGTGCTTCATTTTATTTATTTATTTTTTAAAAACCTCAAACCTGTTATGGCAGGAACTCTACTATTGTAATAGCAGATCTGGGAAATCTGACACTTGTTTAGTAACTGGTGGTAGAATTGGATGGTTTAGAGAGATTATTAAAATAATATGACAAGGTTATCTTTTGGCTTATTTGGTTTTCCTGTGCTATACTCTGCAAATTAACTTTACAAGATGTCTGCAGCTGACCTTTAGGCCCATTCCTCTGTGAGTCTTTGGGACAGAGTAGGGACATGCCCCCTTTCACTTACCTAAGGAGTAGAAAGTCTTGGAGTGCTTAATTGGTGGAAGATCAAGGCATCTGGGTCTGTTGAGAGAGCTGGCAACTTACCTCCTTCTCTTCAGTTACAAGACTCAGCTTCTGATTGCGTCCCCTGATACACATTCACTCTGAACAACTATAGCCAACTCAAATACCAAAATAAACTCAGCAGACGTGAAAACAAGAAAGAAAGAAGACCCACTTCATACTAAATTGTCGAGCTAAATTTAACATTTGTCAGGAACTTAGCTACTTTAATGTGATGTAAAAAAAACAAGTGGGCTTTTAGAAAAAGGAATTGGGGAGGAAGCTAACAATAAAGGAAGAGAAATTACGATTTTTGCTACTTTCAAAAATGGGAGCGGTGCCTAAAGCAATTCCCTTCTGCCAAGAATCTTTCCATTTCTTGAATTATGAGACATAACAGTTTATTGTCAGTGACTTGAAAAACTGCAGAGTGACTGGGGGCTGGGTGGGGAGGGGAACAGTGCTGAACAATAAGTGGCATTCCTTAGAATGTCAAGCTAGGACCATGGGGAAAGTATCATTAGTTAAAGAGTTCTCTCTGAGCTGAACCCCCACAACACCATCACCATTGCCATTGAGCCTTCCTTTCCTAACAAAGAGGCTTCTCAGAGCCAAGAGACCCTACTAGCTGCCATCAGCCAGCCCTCATGTGTACTCTAAATAAAGTGAACTGTTTAAATTGGAACTGTAATTATTTGTACTTACTACTATTTGAGACAGAATCAGGGCAAGCTAGAAGTTTTTAGAGAATGTAGCACCTGGAAAATAGAAGTCTTTAAGAATTATTATCCCTGTCTTTTTCTTTTTTAAAACCTAAATTGAGTAGAAAATAAGAGTACAGGTGTTCTGGAAAAAGTACCAGTCAGACCCTTGATTGAAGGCCAAGGAGATTTTACATGTAGCACATGGACAAAATTTATCTAATTGTTTATACTGACAAATTTCGTCTGATATAAACTGGTAGTAGTAGTATTTCACAAGTAAGGTATTGCTTGGTAGCTGTCCCATATTTTTAAGCCTGGAGATATTCCCATCAAGAAAAGCCTTCTCTGGCCCAGCCACTTTATTCTGGAGTAAAATTGGCTCAGGACAGCACTGGATAAGGATACCCAGGTTTACCTCTCTTTGCCAATCATTGCATTGAGGGCTTAGTATTGGCACTATGGTAAAGGGGGAAGAACACTGAAACCACTAGCCAATTCCTCCTTCGTTGCAATAGATATCTACTATTAGTCTCATGATTGTGAAGCTTAAGGAAGGGAACTGGCTGCCTCTTCTTCTCTTCCTTTGCCCTGACACCCCTCTCCCAATCCTGATTTGGTCAGCCAGAGGCACTGATACTCATATCTGTACATATTAACCATTCTGGTGTTGCCACATGTTACCTTGAGTGGCCTCAGACAAATTCCTTAACCATTATTGGCCTCAAACCTCCTCTATAAAATAAGGAGACTGAATTAGTTGATTTCTTAAAGTTCCTTTTGGCTCTAAACCTATGACACTGTGATCTATGCGTACCAAAATCAGCGTTCTAATTTTGGGCTGACAGGTAAGAAAACACATTTCAGTTCAAACGATTTTGACTTCTTTTCTTTGTGTTTTATGAGAAACTTTGACAGTCTAAAGAAGAAAGATCCTGGAATTCGATTTCTTAACCAATAGGAAGGAGCCCTTAGCCAGTGGCTAGAAACAAAGGCGTTGATGGACTGCCTGGGGCAAGCAGGGTAGGCTGTTTGCTAAGGAGAATTCTCTTCGCCATTGGTGGAGCCTGGAGCTGCTCTGACAGATGTTAGGACTGGAGCCTTGGGCTCTGACCAGCAGCTAAAGAGGTGATGAGTGCAGAGCTGCTCCAGTTCCCTGTTTCTGATTTCAAAACACCATTCAAATGGTTCCTTTTAGTGCAAGTTTTCAGCCAGAGGCTATTTGTTAATATGAAAGAATCTCTCTAACATTGGATTTTAGTGTTTTATGGTCCTGCTGAGTTTAAAAAAAGGTTTTATGTTGTTTTAAGTTAATTTTATATAAGAACAAATATCTCTAGGCACTGGAGATTAAAAAAAGAAATGGAAAGCAGTCCTTGCTCTCAGGGAGTTTACAGTTTCGTTGTAGAAATAATATGGATACATATGGAATGACTACATAACAGGGAGAATTATAAGGGATTTGGAATATAAGGAAACTTAGCATATCAACAAAAACACATGTATACGGTAGCAAAAGAGTCTCAGGTGACTAGATTACACAGAGTAAAGGCAGGAGCTGATTGGGGAGGGGTTAACCAAGGAGGCAGAATTTCTGTTGGTATTGTGGCATCATAGTTATGAATGAGATCTGGCCAGTCTGATCTTAGCCATTTGTTGATAGCACTCCAGGAGGACTCAGGGTATCCACTATCTCTTAATCTGTGAATCATAACTTCTGGACCACTTAGAGAACTCGTACACCCTTAGTGAGATATCAGAAAAAGCCTTCGTGCATTCAAAAATGAACTTACTACTTCTTTCACTCTTCTAAACTCAGTTGTGAACTATTTGCTCTTTCTGCTTCATTATCATGCTTCTCAGATCTACACATTCAAGGACTGATGGAATTCCATTTCCCTCCTAATCTTTTGAAGCTCAGAATTAATGTATTCCTAGTTGTTTCATCTGTTTGAGCCTTTGAAAAATTCTAGTTTGAGAGGAGCTATCCTTTTTCCCCCCCCAGCCTCTTCCTCCATTTCCTGGTTGAAAAACAAAGGATGAGCAATTCTGATAAAGTCTGGGTAGCCACTGGACAGGGAGGCCGCAGTGGGAAATTGCAGTTGCCGAGGTTAGGCAGGAAGCTGTTTCAAAGTAACATTGTAGAAAGGGTCTTATCCTCAGCAGCATTTGAGCAGAAACTGACTTTTTCCAACATATAGCTGCTAGAGACAACTACAGTCTTCCCTTACCCCACAGTGTAACCTACTGAGGAAGGAAACAACTCCTGCAAGTAACCTACTGGGAAATACTTTATTTGCTTCTTAGAAAGCTTTCTGATCTCAGCTATTCACTAATGTCCTCATTCCCCATTATGTCTGTTCTTAATGTTCTTTTCCTCATTGCATTTTGTATTCCATCTCTTCCGGCAACAGCAAATCTTTGGTTCCCCTGAGTTCACCAGACTTGGAGGACAGAAAGTTATAACCAATGACCACATCCATAAGCAACAGTCATATTTTAGCTGAAATTTCTTCAAATTAGAACTTAGTGATATTCCATGTTGCATTTTAGGACAACTATAAAAAGACAATATTGATTCAATATTTAGGGAAGTAATAGGGGTAGGTACCATCACCCTAAATATTTAATCAGTCGCCAAATCTTGCTGTTTCTACTTTCACAAGTTCTCTTGCATCCAACCCCTTCTCTCTACTCACAAGTTCATTTCATTTGGGCCCTCATCACCTTGTGCCTTAATTATTGCAGTGGTCTCCTAATTGGTCTCTTTGCCTCAAGTCTTTTCCCACTGCAGTTCATCTGTCACAACTCAGGGTATTCACTTTGATGCCAAAGTGATTTTTCCTTCAGCATAGATCTGACCATGTCACTCCCCTTTTTAGGCAACTCCAAAGGCTTTCTGTTGCCTCTGGGATAAAATACAAACTCTTCTGCCTAGCTTTTAAAGACCTTTATAACCTCATCCCAAGCTGTCTTTCTAACTTCGTTTTACATTACTATCCCTTCCGCACTTTTTGATCATTCCAAACTGGGCTTTTCTGTTTCTTCTGTTTCCATGTCCTTGGTCTGACTGACCTTCATGCCTGGAATGCACTTGCTCCTCAATCCTGCCTCACAGAATACCTCTCTTCCTTCGAGATAAGCCCAAGCACAACCTTCCCCATGAAGCTTTTTTTGAATTCTTAACAAATACTAGTTCCTTTCTTCTCAGACTATCTTGGACAGAGGCAACTAGGTGGTGTGGTGGGTAGAGTGCTAGACTTGGAGTCAGGTAGACCTGAATTCTAATCTTGCTGTAGATACTTGCAGTGTGACATTGGGCAAGTCCTTTAACCTCTCTTAGTTTCAGTTTCTTCATCTGTAAAACGGGGATGATAATTATGCCTACCTGACAGGATATGTAAAGTACTTTGCAAACCGTAAAGCACTATATAATTCTAACTCTTTTTATTATTTAATGATTTTGTATTTATTCTCTTTATCTCTCTCTCCTGTATGTATACATATATATGTACCTATTGCCTTCCCAATAGAGTGTAAGCTCCTTGAGAGTAGGGATTGCTTCATTTTTGGATTTCTATTCCCTTTTGCCTGGTACAGTGCATTGCACATAGTAGGTGTTTAATAAATACTTACTGATTGATGTTGTACTACTATTGTAGTTACTATTTCATAAGTAGTGTGTAGGATCTCTGAAGGCTTTAGCTGTGGTGGAATGGGAACCAACTCTTGGGTTTTTAATGGATTGAGAGGTGCTTAACATAAACTTTACTTGGGACTTGAGGACCTTTCTTTGCATTTATATGTGTGTCAAGGAAATAATTGTATTTTTTTTCTCCTAGTCTTTTATTTGAAGTGCAGACTACCATTTTGTATTGGTGTACGCCATAACCCATGGACCAGGAAAGCAGCACCAGAGAGAGTGCCACTGGTAAGTCTCTGTTCTGCACTAATCTGTACTCACTTGTAAATGTTTTTAAGTCTTTTTCATATGTGGGAGACATTTTTTTTTCTCTGACTAGATTGTAAGCTCCTTGAGAGGAGGGGTAGGCTCCTTTCTGTGTTTCTTTTATATGAGTTATACTTTGCCTTCATATACTTCCTTTTATTTGTTCAGAGGGCTCTTAGCCTATTAGTTCACACCCCTTTTTGCCGAGGATATCACTCTGTGTATTAGTATGTAATCAGTAAGTGTGATTGGCTGATTGACTGTAGAATATTCTATTGTGAACCATTCTTGGTTCATAATCTTTGCTCGCTTTTTAAAAGAGATTTGTCTGAATGGTTGGAGCTTTTGATCACTAATTTACATCAGTATCCAGGAATGTGAGTGAGCAAATGCTTGATTCCTTCATACAAACTCACTTGGAGAGGATTGCCTACTTCTGCTGACTTTTCCTTCTTCTAAGTATTTACCAATGTTATATCATAATTCCCCCTCTTCACTCCCCTCCTTCCATCCTCAATCTAGGTCCAAAGAGGGAAAAATAAAAAATATTATCTTCCCTATGGAAGACTAGCCTAGAGTAGTTGTGGAATATAGGGTTAAGTTACTTTCTTAGGCTTGCGTAGGGATTCATTCATAAACTTGGATGGGGATCTCACAATTTCTGGCCTGGTTTCCATAAGAAAGTGATGATAAACATAGCTTTAGCTAATTAAGAAATAAAAACCCCACCCCATAAGAATCTAAATCTGTGATACATTGGAACCGGGTGGGGCTTGGGTAGAGATGAGTTCTCAGTACTGGAGCAGATATTTCACAGGTGTAGACATTCTAGATCCTTAACACAGGGGCCATTTGGGAAACCACATTTTCCTGTGTAAGGATATACAGTAAGAGGGACTACATTACATTGAATAATATTTTATAATTTCAGAGAGATTATACTTATTAGATTATTCTATAATTAACAATCATTTAGTTCATAAACCATCTCAGTTTAAATTATCAAGTAAAATGACAACAATGTACATTTTAAAGAATCTAAGAAAGTGAAACATTTAGAATTGGTGAAATAGATGTGATGTTCATTTCCTCATGCACAAGATGATGTGCTTGTAAGGAAGGATATTATGAAAAAGTTTGTCAAATACCTTGCCGAAAATCAGATATCATCTTTGTCTTTTCTGTGCTATTTTAGTCTAACAATTCTATTTGGTTGTTCTTGGTTCCTAATTTCCATTTTTTGTCCATGTTCCTTTAGCCTTTTTAGATTAATCAGAAAGCTTTCTGTGCATCCATATTTATGACTATGTGACACCCCTTTTCAAGAAGCTCCAAGGGCTCCCATTTGTCTAAAGGATAAAATATAAGCATCTCTGTTTGACATTTAAAGTCCTTCGCAGCCTAGTTCCAGCCTATCTTTCTAGACTTAATGTGTATTACTCTCCTTCTCTAGCTCTGTTTTACATCCTCACTGGTCTGCTTGCTAGTCCTCTTACCCAACATTCCATCTCCCATCTTCAAGCCTTAGATTCTGGCACCCTGTCATGCCTGAAATATACTCCCTTCTCACCTTTGCCTCTTAGAACAAAAGTATATCTCTATGAGGCACATTTTGATTCTTTTCCCCTGGTTCCTCAACTAGGGCCTCTGAAATGACTTTTTATTTACTTTGTATATATTTTGTGTTTAATAATAATAACAATAATAATAGCTAATTGTATGTAGCACCTCTTATGTCAGGCACTGTGCCAAGCAGTTTACAGATATTATCTCATTTACTTATCTGTGATCATGTTATTTTCTCTTCTTGTGTAAGTGCCTTGACTGCAGGCATGCTTTCATTTATTTGTCTTTTTCTTTTCTTTCTTTCTTTTTTTTTTTGGTCTTTGTATCCCAGATACTTATAGTTCCTGGCACATAGTAGGTATTTAATAAATTATTGTTGAATGAAGGAAAGACTGAGTTGTTAGAATTTCATTTTGAGAGCATCCTGTCCTTCTTGAGCCATTTTCCCTTTGAGAGAGGATGGGAGCATCCACTTCCTTTTTTCTGAACCTTTTGAAAATTTTGCTCAAAAATGTAAAAAAAAAAAAAAGCACATATCAGATTATATCTAGTATTACTATCCTTGGCTGTCACAAACTCTAAGGTGATATAGTTCTTCCAAGATTTCATTCTGTCAGCCAATTCTTCCTGGGTCAGAATTAAATCCAGAATTCTACCTCTGCCTTTTAAATCCTTCTTCTACCTTTTGAAAAATGAAATTTTCAGCAGGAAAAGCCAAGAATTTATGAGATGTTCTGAAACTTACAGTAGATCTGAAGATAATTGAAATCTTCCAGTCATTACTACATCTTGCTTCTGTGTCAGTTTTTATAATTTATTTTAGGAAAGCATCATCCATATCCTCCATGTGGTCAAACAGTCTGTAGAATACTTCTAGTATAACAGCATGTCTATTTCTGTCTCTTTTTGTTTTCACCTAATACTCTCCAGTGAATTCTCAAGTGAATTTCCATGTAAGTATTTATTTTCTTTACATATGCTGCTACTCTTTCCCTTCTATTAGATAGGTTTCCTTTAAATAAGGTTAACTCTTCATTGCTGTATCCCAGTTATGAGTCCATTCCACCAAGCTTCAGTGATCTTTCTGAGATCATGTTTATATCCTGAGATATTTATATCCTATGTTAAAACTTCAAATTTACTTTTTTATTATCTGCAGACATTTGTGTATAGATAACTAAAGTCCTAAATATTCTTTGTAACTCTCTTCCCAGTTACTTTCCCTTGTGAGTTGCTATGCATGTTTTCTACTCTCATTCCTATTTCTATGTCATAACTCATGTCTTTCATCATATCCAGTTTTACCATTGAACCTGAGAAGCATAGAACAAGAGAATGTAGAATACATCTAAAGGGATTTTACCCAAGATAGTTGGGGAACTAAGACTGAAGTCTACAACTTTTGACTTCTTTGGAGTGCTCCAGTCTCACTCAAAAATGCCCATCTTTCTTTGCTTTTCCTGACCACCACACTCCCATATACTCATTAAGGTTCATTTAGCAAAATTAAAATCAGTTCTTAATATTTCAGAAATTGATCTGGGAAGATGAATTATAGAGGCTGAGTTATTTAATTGTGAAGGGAAAGAAGCTTGGAATAAAACCTTGTTAGATGGAGTTTAAAGATAAAATTTAACTATGTGAATTGTTGTAGTTTGGGATCCTGTGGCCTCGAGGTGTTTATGTAAAACGTGTGTTTCCCCTTCATTTTGTAGTTATTGTTTGGCTGGACTGGGTGATGGATGATGGAGAAGGTAGTGTCTGGAAATATGTTCAGAAGTGGACAGGAAGCCAAGAGAGGTCTCTGCCAGCACTTCCTTCCTGTCTACAAGAAGGGGAGAGAGAGGGCAACAACCTTGGCTTTCCTTTATCCTGAGAAGAGTGTCACCAGGCCAACTGTATTACAGGAAAAATGGTTTAATCTTTCCCCAAATTATAGTGTCTTCCTTTCCTTTAGCTGTTAGGTTGGTCCAGGAGCCACATAAATAGTGAATTGAATGGAGGATTTCACTGGAACAGGGCAAGTGATTCAGAGAATCTGTAATGAGGATGGAGAAATACAGATTAAAATATGATGTGGGTGAATTTAGGGAGGAATTAATTTTTTTTCCTTTACAGTTTAAAGTCTCATGCCACAATAAGTCATCTTGCCCCAGTAGCACCAGACATTTTTGGTCTCAATACAATAGCATTTTTTAATAATCCTGCCAGAAAGGAAAAAGGGAATAGCAATTTCAGACATCATTTTTATTTATTCAGAATACAAAATGCTACAGATCAAACTCAGCCCAGATTTGCAGCCTTTGTGTAGTATCAAGTCAACAGTTGTCCTTGAGGGAAATCCTGTTAGAGGATGAAGTCTTTGCTTCTCTAACTGTGACCCACCATTTGCTCACTGACTGTACTCATGAGGAACAAAGGAGAATAAGGGGAGGTTGAAAGGGGATTTAATTCTTTCTGGTGTAGCTTTCTTTTTATTTTAAAATGCAGGTTTATTTTGTTGTCAAGTCTGGGTTTTCTACCCATCCTCCCCCCACTCCAACCCCCGATTGAGAAAAACAAGAAAAAAATTTTTTTTTACAAACATATTGCCCACATGGAAGAAAAAAAGTCTCAGTCTATACTCTTGTGTCCATCATCTCTCTGTTAAGCAGTGGGCAGTATATTTCATCATGATTACTCTGGAATTGTGGTTGGTCATTGTGCTGATCAGAATTCTTAAGTCTTTTAAAGTTGTTTCTCTTTACAGTATTGTTGTTATTGTATAAATTGTTCCCCTGATTTTGCTCATTTCACTTTCTATCAGTTCATGCAAGTCTTCCTAGGTTTCTCTTAATTTATCCCCTTCCTCACCCCCCCATTTATTATTTATTTATTTTTAACATTCTTTTTAAATTTTGAGTTTAAAATTTTCTCCCACCTAACCTCCCTCACCCACTGAGAAAGCAAGCAAAGTGATATCAGTTGTACATGTGAAATCATGCAAAACATATTTCCATATTAGCCATATTTTTTAAAAAGCAAGAAAAATAAAGTGAGAAAATTATACTTCAGTTTGCACTCAGAGTTCATCAGTTCTCTTTCTGGAGGTGGATAGCATTTTTTCATCGTGAGTCCTTTGGAATTGTCTTGGATCGTCGTATTGATCAGAGTAGCCAAGTCTTTCACAGTTGATCATCATTGCAACATTTTTACTGTGCACGGTGATCTTCTGGTTCTTCTCACTTCACTTTGCATCAGTTCATATAGGTCTTTCCATATTTTTCAGAAACCACTCGCCTTGTCGTTTCCCATAGCAAAGTAGTATTCCATCACAATCATATGCCACAACTTGTTCAGTCATTCCCCAGTTGATGAGCATCCCCTTGATTTACAATTCTTTGCCACCACCAAAAGAGCTGCTATATTTTGTACAT